CTTCCTTCCTTCCTTCCTTCCTTCCTTCCTTCCTTCCTTCCTTCCCTCCTTCCTTTTCCTCAGTTCTTTCCCCCTTCCTCTCTTCTCTTGCCTTCTCTCATATTTTCCTTCCTTTCCTTTCTTTTCCTTAATAAAATTCTGGAAAAAAGGAGGATATTTACATCAACTCTGACATTTACTTTTTAGGTTTCCATCAGCATTAGTGAGTAAAGAGTGAAATAATATGTAAATATTAAAAAGTAAGAATATAACCAATTACGTGACAAAAAGAATGAGCACATGCTCAACAGGATTCTCTAAAAATACTGATATCTTTCTAAGAAGATCACTCAGGGTTCAGTCACATATCCTGCTACAATATTTGGATGAAACTACGGCTATTGCCGGGTGCCGTATAACTTTCTATACGCACACTGTTTCACATCCCTCTAATCTCTTAAGGGCTTTTAAATATGTTTTTGCAGTTTATTTTTCATTTCATTTTAAATCAGCTGCTTCTGTTAGTTGAATTTGGATAGCAAAGACCAGATGTTTCAAATATCCTGAGTTTTATTCCTATTTTCCTATTGGCTGTAGAACAGTTATTTTGTTAAAAAAGCAACTGCAGAAACATTTGAAGGCTTTATTTTTGCATGTGTGAAATTCAGATATCATTAGTATTCATTTGTGCTGGAAGCTTTAAAATTCTAAACTGTGATACTGAATGTGGGAAGAATTTTATTAACTAGAATGTACCGAGAAAGGCAGGGCTGGGGTGGCATGGAAGGGAGGGTGTGAGGAGGTGGTGGCCCTCTTAGCCGTTACATACAACGTCCCTTCTGCAGTTGGAAGGAACTCCTCGCCTTTCTTTTACACACCAGCTCAGACACAATGTGGAGCATTCCTAGGAACCTTTCTTTACTTCGTTTGCACAATTATTGTTATGTATGGGAGAGAAACCGAGGCTGTCCGTCATCGAACTGAGCACCAAAAGGCACCCTGAAGGAGAAAGTGAAGTGACGGAAACTGAGAGTGACTTCCACTGGGGACAGTCCTTGCCCCCGGACAGACAAACAGCCAAATGGAATCACACACCTCGTAATCCCCTGAGGTTCAAAGTCAGAAAAGAAGTCCAAAGAACGAGAATTTAAAGCAGCTTTCAGAAGTACAGTTTAGAACATTTTCGAAGGACACGTGTACAAAATTAATGGTACATGTGCAGGGAGCTAAGTTTATACTGTCTGCTTCTTTAACTAGTATCCAATACTCGAAACACCGCACTACAGGGTCGGATCACAGGCCACAGAGACCAAAGTGAGAGGGCATTTGGGTTCAGGGTTGAGGAAAGGGGGGTCAGGGTGGCTGGAGGAGGGTCGAAAGTAGCTCAGTGGACAGAGGCAGCTGGCGGAGAGCGACTGGGGGCAGAAACAGGATGGGCCCTGGGAACCTCCGCAGGGCACGGCCCCCAGTGTGGCAGCCTTGGCCCCGCTTGGTCGTGCCCCGGTGACGGTTCAGACTGTCACGAACGGTTACCCTCTGCTTTGCCTTCTTCAGGTGGAATAACAAGCTGCTCAGATGGTACAAGTAACCGGGACAGCTTTCGGCTTGACGATGAGGTCCCCTACTCAGGACCGTTCTGTGGCCGGGCCAGGGTGCACACCGACTTCACGCCAAGCCCCTACGACACGGACTCCCTCAAAATCAAGGTGTGTGCACGCATGTCTGCATTGTGATGGTGCCGGTGCTGGCTGGGTGACCTGTTTCAGAATGTCAAGCAGGGAGAACCGGGGCAGGGGTTTTGTCCCCACAGTGGAACTGGGGACCGGTTTGCGGTGGCAAGAATCTGAGCATCACATGCCAGGCGGGGCAGGGGCTGGGCCTGCTGAGGGGTCAGCATAGATTGCTGTTGTGTAGATGGTGCTGAATCAACGCCTATCAGGGAAGGAGGAACTGTCTCCATTTCCCTGGAAGCAGGCGCCCAGCCCTGCCTGATCTTTCCTGAAGTGAAAATAATAAAGCAAAGGAGAGAGAGGAAGGTGGAGAGATCAGGCAAGAGTCCAGCAGAGCAGAGGCCTTGGGAACCAGACTTGGTCCGAGGAACTGCAGCACTCAGACTGGTTGCCCTGAGCTACCAGTCATCTTTCTGCCGATGATATTCCCTCCCGAATTCCCTCTTCTTACTCTCCTGTCCTCTGTGTTCACTTTCTATTACCGTGCAACAGATTCCCACAACCCTGGGGCCTCACACCACACGAATGTGTTATTAATTATCTCACAGTTCTGTAGGTCATAATTTGGGCTCATCGGCTGAAGGTCTCACTGGGCAGAAATCAAGGTGTCAGCTGGAACTGTGGTCTCCCCTAAGGCTCCGCTGGTCTTCCAAGCTCAGTGGCTGTTGGCAGAATTCAGTTCCTTGTGGCTGTAGGAGCGAGGCTCATGCTCTCCTGCTGGGTGTCAGCTGGGGGCCGCCCTCAGCCCCTGGAGGCAGCCAGCGTGGCCCTCTCTACAACACGGCAGTTCACTCCTTCAAGGGCCCGCAGGGAAAGGCTCACACATGCTTCAAACCTCTTTATTTTTAAGAGCTCCTACCTGATTAATTCAGAAACACCCAGATCATTACAAAATTAACTAACCTGGGACATTAATTTCATCTGCATAGTCCCTTCTGTCATATAACACAACACAATCAAGGGCGAGAAATCCATCATTTTCGTTGTACTTAAGGGGAGGAGCTGGTTACAACAGCACAAACGGAAGAAGGCTGAGTGCTAAAATATTTGAGAGATGTTAAATTATTCCTTTTAGCAATACAAACTGCTATGTAGCTAAAAGGACAGAATTTATGAATTTTCTATACTGTCAACACCAAGCCAATGTTAACCAACATCTATAATAAGTTAGAGGCATTGACGTGATTATTTAACATTCAAGGCTCTCGGCTCTGCCCTTTGCCCATTCTGTGGTACCAGACCTGAGTAAGGGGGAGCATTACTACTCACAATTAGCCCCGAGTCGTTCCTCAGTCTCTGTCTTGGGGAAAGGAGGGCTCAGGAGGGAATATGCTGGGCACATTTGGATTCGGGATAGCTTTCCACCTTCCCTATGGTACTGTGCCAGTTCACCACCTCTGGTGCTGCCTAAGGGGATGTTTGCAGAGCTCTTATAAGACACAGTGAGAATCCCAGAGTTACAACTGAAAATTGAATACTAAAGTTATCCAAAACGACACTGAGTCTTTGCTTGGTGACCTTTCTGGAATGCACAATTTTTACAAGTTTAAAAGATAATAGGAAGGATGCTGCAGAGGGCTGCCAAGCTTAGGAACTTCCTTTAGAGCTTCTGGGGATTTTCTGGGTCTACTTAGCTGATCCCATCGAGCCTAGAATTTGATGCCCTAGTGAAAGGCTGGAAAGAGCAAGGCGAAAGCGCATGGGCAGATAGTTACAAATCAGAAAGACTAAATCTTTTAATCGTATTGAATTCTACTTTACAAGTACAATTTGTGTTTCAGATGTTAGAATATACACTCACAGAGCAGCAGGAAATAATATTCTTAGTAGCCAACTTAATGGTTTGTTTGTTTGAGGGTAGACCCCTAATATGGCAAAACAATCAGAAACTACGATGTCTTCTCTGGGGTAGAAAGTTGTAAGTCTCAAGGGAGTGACTATGTCTCCTAAATGTAGGTACTCTATTTGCATAGATATCAATTTTCTTTACAAATAATTACCTCTGAGCAGTTTTCTACTTGTGCCAATAACTGGCAGCCTGTGGCCAAGTAATCTCATATGTAAATAAAGAAAAAGACCAATTGGTTTGTCTATCCCAATGTGCTTCATTCATACTACAACCCAAACTTTGTTGGGCAGCCCAATCTAAGGATTGTCTTCTCTAGAATAATTAACATAATTTATCCTTAGTGCACACATGCTTTTATTACGTATTTGGCATATACAAAGTTCTGAACACTTTCATTATGTTAGATGAATGCAGTAATTTAGATGTGTTTATTTTATACTGTAGATGGATTTTTCAGTTGAACTTGAAGCACCAAGAGTCACAGACTTTTCTTTCTCCCTTCTCCCTAATACGGGAGCCCCTCCAGGAATGATGGGTTGAGTTTTGCTTTGACAGGGTGAATGAAAAGAGCATCACTTTTGAGTTCAGACAACTTAGTCTTGAGTTCTGGTTCTGCCATTAACTTCCTATGAGCTCCTGGGAAGTTATTTAATATTTGTGTTTCTTTTTCTGCAATATTTAGAGTAATGATGACACCTCATCTATGTACCTAAGAGGTGTGTTGTGGGCATAAAACAACTTTATGTGTGCAAAAGTGTTGTGTAAATTACACTGTACTCAACAAATAAAAGTTGATAAATTGATATGATACCAAACACAAAAACATGCCATCAAATACATGCAGGATCTTTCCTTCAAGCATGTTGCCTTCTTCATTATCACTAGTACATAATTTCCTCAGACTTTTAAATTTTCTCTTAGATATATTTCTGTTATCTTGAAATCATCTTAGCATAATTCTCTTTTCTATGGTTCCATTCTTTCTGCCAGTTGTCACAGCACCAAAGTTCTCTGAAATATGATTTGCATATTTCTTTTTCCTTAGAAAGGAGACATCATTGACATTATCTGCAAAACACCAATGGGAATGTGGACAGGAATGTTAAACAATAAAATGGGAAACTTTAAATTTATTTATGTGGATGTCATCTCGGAAGAGGAAGAGGCCCCCAAGAAGATAAAAGCACACCGAGGGAACGGAAGAGAAAAATCCAAGACGCTGCAGGAGTTCTTGGAGAGGGTTCAGCTGCAGGTTAGCAAACGTGTGGCCTGTTTGATTTTCGTGGCATATGGACAAATCATTAAGGAGAACTGATCAGTGTTTGTACAGATTTCTTAAAAAAATACATGACTTACAGCAAAGGAAAATCTGTTTTCCAAGAACGGTTCTTATTTCTCCTTTTTTACTTTTATTATGCAAGAACAGATCTTGCTATAGCGTCCTTTGGACTAAACGCTAATGGTACTCTGCAATGGCAGTGGAGATTAATGTGGAGAAAATGCAGTGAAAAATAAAAAATACCTAAGGATATAAAAGGCCCAGGGAAAACATGTAAATGAGGATAAAGAATGTAGAAGAGTGAAAATAAAAATCCAGATGTTATTCGGTGGAAAGATCCCCAAGTCTCCACCAGTGGCTAGTGGGAGTGGGCTTCTTGCGATATCTAGAGAAAAAGAATACAGAATTGAGATTTGCACAGGACGGTGAGGTAATGTAGAAAGCTTTATTTCTGAGGAATTCTACCCCTAAGTTTCCAAGGTCTCATTTCCCTTTTTCCCACCATAGAAGAAGCCCCATTTTGCTTTTAGCTCCATGTAGGGACACGGTCTAACCCAGCACCAGGCCAGCTTAGTTCGTGTCCCCACCTGCAGTCCATCGGTCGGTTGCATGTGGGGTCCGCACGGCCACATGGCTGTGGAGGGGACACAGCAAATGCAAGGAAGCGGGAACAAGAGAGCCGAGAAAGAGAGCGAGCTCCCTTTGTTTAGGGGATTCTGTATTCCTAAATTTCTGAGGGCTTGCAATGGCCCTGCCTACTACGCTAGCCAATCCATGGTTCCCCAGGCTTGACTGGCAGGCGGTTTCCCTGTGTCACCCCAACTCACTGCACATGCACCCATCTTCCCCTTTGTCCGGTCCCTTCTCCCAGCAATCTGCAAGGCAATGGGCCTGTGGTTCCTGGAAGCTGTGAAGATGCAGCCCAAAGGACAGGCCTATAATGTCTGGCTCCCTTTTGTTCCTTTCTTATTATTAATAACTAGCTAATTATAATGGTATCACAGAGACTTGAAAGAAAAAAATGAAAAGGATATTGTATTTTCTATAGAGCAGAGATAAAAAATAAGTCAAATGAAAATAAGTAAATATAACTGTTATAAAAGTAATTTGTTAGGAAACAGTGACCATTAAGCTTGCATAACAATTGTGTTAAGAAAACTGTGTTGTCTACATTTATAATGTAATTACTTTCTCATTATATTAACAAAATATCTACCTTGTTAAATGGTGTGTACATATAATGTATCTAACCTCACTCAATTTACTCTTTTGTAATCCATTTTAAAAATTAGCACAGTAGTACTTTGATAGTTTTCAAAATTCATTAAGCAATAGCCAATTAAGCTTTCCGTAATTGTTTGTCCTGAATTATCTAGTTACAGGCTTGTCTGCAGACACGCTATCTAGGTCTTCTTCCTACGTTACTACTGGTGCCCCCAAATGGGGCTCTCCTTGGAAGAAGTACAAGTTTGAATCCCGCCTCTGTTACTTGGTTTTTTCCATGACCTATGAGAAAACCAAGATCTAAGGAAGTGAAATAACTTAGTCATGAACCCTCAGTTAGATGGTTATTCAGAATGGGAATTTTGGTTTTCTTTGTTCTAATTCAGTGTTCCTTCTAGGATGTTTTTAAAAGAATTGCTACTCTTTTTTTTTTTTTTTTGTACATAAAGGGCTGGTAATAAGCTCTTCCTGATCACTTAAAACTTTCATACTTCCTCTTACTCAGTTTTAATAACTAAAGTAAGGATATTGAAATAATCAAGTAGAATAGGAAGAATCTTTGAGGAAGTTGAAAAGCATTCAACTTTGCTTTGAATTTTTATGCTGTTAAAGAGAACAGAGGTTACATAAATAAAATGCAGACTTTGAAATGGGAAGCATATGAATTTTAAACTCATATATCTTGATGCAAACAATGGACAAGCAATGTGTGTTGAGAAAAGGAAATAATACTTTTTCCCCAACCACAGTGTTTTCATAAAACTTAATAAAAACTTTTAATTAAATAGAAAATCTTGGATTCCTTTGTTTTGTAACCAAAATCCTAAGTCCACTTTTTATGTAAATTGTTTCTGCTTCAAGTTCGTTTTTTAACCTGCCCCAAGAAATTGATGAGGGTAGTTGCTTTTACAATCAAGCAAACAGATGCAGATTAAAAACTATTGCTATAATATGCTTTAAGAGGCATTTTGTTGATAGACTTAAGGACACTCTAGCTTTGTTAATTGAGTGATTTGAGAAGTGAAAAAGTGCCAAACAGGATGAATGATCCAGCTATTTAATTGGTCCATTATTTAGCAATGTATAGCTTAAAGTAGTAATTTCTTCTTCATGTTTGTCCTTCCAGAAGTTCAGAATGATACCACCAGTCTTTGAAATGCCCTAGAGTTTATATGTGGAAAACTAGTAAAGTAAAATAGAGTTAAGCAAAAGTTTTATTGGCACCTTTGGTTTCCATGAGCATCTCTACACTTTCTATAAATCTACAGAGAACTAAAAATAAAGTATTTGAATCTGACTAGCTCATTTACACGTATTTTTTCTCCCACACAGGAATACACATCAACACTCTTGCTCAACGGTTATGAGACCCTAGAAGATTTAAAGGATATAAAAGAGAGTCATCTCATTGAATTAAACATTAAAAACCCAGAAGACAGGAGGAGGTTACTATCAGCTGCTGAAAATCTTGATGAAGAAAGTAAGTCTGTCCATCTTCTCTCCCTGGCTGATAGTCACAGTCTAATGTAAATCTTGAAATTNTATCAGCTGCTGAAAATCTTGATGAAGAAAGTAAGTCTGTCCATCTTCTCCTCTCCCTGGCTGGTAGTCACAGTCTAATGTAAATCTTGAAATTGTTAAAACAAAGTCCCCATTTAATTTGCTGAGAATCACATAAAGCATTCGTTCCCATCAAATAAGTATATTCTTATATATTTGGAAATAACAACTCTGGTCAAATATATAATTAGAAAGAGGATTTTTTTCCTTATTGGACTCAGAAAATGGAAGGTCTTTTCTGGGTCCCTCATTTAGATTCTGCCGAGCTACTAATTTACACGAAAGTGCATGTCTGCATTCCCAAAGACTGAGGGAGACAGAGACAAATATTTAGTGGCAGCAGGAGCCATTAGTGAGAAATGTCATATGCAGCTTCTGTAGAACAGCACAGAGCCTGGCGCTCAGCTAATGAGTCTTCGTGCCACACAAGGAAATTCATTTCATTACCATATAGTCACATCTTGTATGTGTTTATAACATTCTTTCAAAATGTTATAGTAGCTTGCAAAAATATTCAGCACTCAATTTTATTATCTGAGACGGCTCTGGGTGCTTGTAAGTATAAACCGAAGCTGGAGGCATCCGTGTGGATGTAACTGTGGCCGGACACCAGCTACACCGCTGGGTCCGTAAAGAGGGGACAGCTTTCGCTTTTCCAGTTGCCCAGTGTGAACCCTCCTCTTACTCAATCTGGTCAGGCTCCCAGGACCCCGAGTTCAGAACATGCCGAGCTCTGCAAGGAGTGTTATGTTAGAAAAAATGGGAGAAGTGTCTAATTTTAAAGATGAGAAAAACCTTAGATCATCTAATAAACAATCGTCTCTTTCAAAAATAATAATAATCATTAACTACTATTTTGAACATGATCTGAGTACACGTTTAAGCCGGGCTCTTCACATGACCTTCTTTAATGCTCCTCATAACTCTGGGAGTCACAAGCACCATCCCCATTTTTGTAATGAGAAGTCGAGAAGGTAAGTAACTTGTCCAAGCTCGCGCATCTAGGGAGCTGGAGAGCGAGGGCCTGTGTTGACGGTGCTGTGCTGTGCTCCCGACATTGCAGATAGCAGCCCAGGCGGAGAGGAAGGAGGACCCAGGCCTCCTGACGGGCCCTTCCCGGGCTTCCCTGCATCCTTTCTCTTATGCCCCCCAAAATGGGCACAGTTGCACAACACATATTTATATACATTGGCCTTTTATCTAGCAGGAACTAATTTTATTTTTTTAGAACCTGTACCTTACTCTTTTATTTTTACTTGCTGTCTTGAGTTTGCATTGATCTCTACCCTTTTCAGAAGAGCTTTCATATGTATGACTAATTTGACACCTGCAGAATTGATTTCATCTTTAGGCCTAGTCGTTTATGTGCATTCTTTGAAGCTGTGGGAGCTAGTAGATGCAAAAGAGAGGGCATGGGGTCACAGGGGCAGACAGGGATCAAACTTAAGCAGCCAGTGCTCTCAACAGAGCAAGCCCAAACAAAGCGGATCAGCTTAAATTGATGCAGCAGTATCATTCAGGTAAATGAGGCAGGTGGTTTTTTCCCTCCACATCTTGTCATTTCAAAATATGTCTCCTCCCCAAGCAAGCAATGTTAGGCTAAGAAACAGATTCCGTAGATTTTTTTTTTTTTGTAATTGATAATGTTCAGTGTCATTGTCAATACTCTCCAAATAAATTGGCATTGAAGCAGAGGGAGGGAGAAGACCGAGTATTTTTTGAACACTTGTAGATACTTGCTTTTCTTCTACAATACCATCCATGTAGGCATTTTGCCCATTTTGGAGATATGAAAATATTTCAGAGATGAATTTCAAAGAAGTGGAACAGCTAGATAAGGGGTTTTAATCAAAGGCAGTCTGCTAGAAAAACCTACCTCTTTCCTTCCACACGTGCAAATTGGAAAATACGAAAACAACAATGAATATTTGAAAATTTAAAATGTCTACTACTTTTCTAGTTTTCTCAGCAGCTTAAGTTGTTTTTCATCTCAAAAAGTGGAAGTTAGTATTTAAGTGGGAAAGGAAACCTCGTAACAGCCTGACTCCCTGAAAGGTGGGAGGCTGGTGTGGTTGCATTGCAGCAGGATTTGTGAACAGAAGGGGCCTTAGAGCTGGATGAGCAGCGCCTCCAGTGCCAAAGGCTTGGGCCCCTAAAGGTGTCTGCTTAATGTTTTCTTTCCAACCCCTCATCACCCATCTACACTCTCTGCTAACAACAACAAAAATAGTAATTTATAGCTGATATCATATTAGAGCTAAGTACAATTTTTAAACATCATTTGGCCCAAATTCTTCCTCTGCAAGATGGGGACACTAAAATTACAGTAGGTGTCTTTCCCAAGGTCATGTATCTAGAACGCAGCCTCCTAAATCTAGATATTAGAAACACATACTGCAAAGCACAATATCTCCAAAGCATGATGTGAAATGCAATGTTTTTTAAAAAAAAAAAAAAAAAAAGTACAAATCCCCCAAAATTATTTCCCTTGTAAAACTTTAGAAAACGGTACTTGAAGGTCACTAGAAGTTGATCATTTAATAATACCCAGTAATATACAAACATAGATACACTGAGCCCAATTCTGGGAGATGAAAAATGGAAAAAATGCAGATTCAACTAGTGTTTGTTGTCAACACACAGCATGGGGATTTTTCTTATTTTAATCTTGCGGTCTAAAGTACTATTAGAATATACATGTCAAAAAGATGCATATTGCATGTTAGGCTATTTTGACTGAAAGCTATTTATCTTATATGTAACTGCTTCGCTCAAGAAATAAAGAATGACTTCTATTTGTTGATAAGATGTTGAGTTCTGATGATTCGGCACCATGCTGCTACATGCTTATTTTTATCTTTACCCTGTGAATCATATCTCCTACAACCATGCTAAAGATTAAATGCACAACCTTCATGTACCTTGAATGATAAAGACCTTGAATATATGGTTATATAAAACTAAGACAAATGCATGTCACAGTCATAGGTTAAAAATAGTTAGCTTTTGTGTGTGTGTGTGTAAGAATGGGCTATGCAAATTGGCCAGGATTTGAAGTATACATTTTATTCTGGTCATTGAATAATATCAGTTTGGGAATGTCAATAAATTCCTAGTTTTGAGCTTCATTGCTTCTGAGGTTGGGAACTGGAATGTTTTTGCTTTGCTAATCGTTCAATATAAAAACTGAGCAGAGTGGGCACCTGTTTTAAGGACAAGAATTAAAACTTTGAGATAATGGAGAAAGACTACAGCCCCATGCGAGCTTTTAATACATCTGGAGAAGCCAAGAGGATGGGGGATGGGCCAGGGACAAAAGCAGAAATCTAAGATGTAGAGCAAGCAATTTTCCTCTTCTCTTAGGCCAAAAGAGATAGCACTGTGCCCCCTTTGACCTTGAAAATGCACACCAGATTAATCTTTCTAGGTTACTGCTTGACAGGAGGGAAAGACGCTTCGCCACCAGGCTGACAGAGGGCGGGCAGGCGGTGCTGGCGCTGATCACAGGGTTGCCTCTGGGGGAGATTGACTTGGGGGCCTGCAGTCCCGGCAGGACCGGCACAGGGATATTCTGATCTCGAGCCCGTGCTGCATTAGAGCCGAGCAGAATTAGGTCACTGGCTCTCAGCTGGGGACCCAGGTGAGGCTAGAGGGAGAAGAAAAATGGGGGTGAGACTCAGCTCTTGAAGGAGCAAAAGAGCAGAATCTGTTTGTTTTGTGCACATTGGGGTTTTTCTATTTATCATCTGAATTTTAAAGTGGCCTGTTTACTTAGGATAAACATTCCCAGCAAGTAAAAAGGAGGGTAGAGTGTGTGTGTGTGTGTGTGTGTGTGTGTGTGTGTGTGTGTGTGTGTGCACGCACACACGCGCGTTCTTCCATAAACAGGACCTTCAAGGCCCCTTTGCCTCACTGAGAAATGTGCTGTAGAATAAGTTAACTGCTGTTAATAGTAAATATTTTCTCTTTATTCCGAACTTGCTCTTCTTTTCTCACATTTAAAACACTTTGATGTGTCTGAAAAGTGTGTCTATGAGAATGTGCACTGCTGTCCTGGGGGAAATTGGGTGATGGAAATACCTTGTCTTCCCTTTAGCACAGGGATAATTAAAGTTTAAATAAAAAAACAACAACTTAGTAAGTGAATAAACAAGCTGTACTAGAAGCCGTATATATTGTAGGTGCCCGCGACCTCTGTTTGCAGTGCTCAATGAGGAGGAAGGGGGACGGGGCGGGGGGGCTGCGTGCCAGGCTGTCGGCGCCAGCTGTGGTCACAGCAGCCCCTCATTGCTCCACTATCCCCAGTTGTGCCTTCTTGTCTGCCTACCTGCCCAAAACGATGCAGGGCAAATGGCAAGGCCCAGCCAGGAGCCTGGAACATGAGCTGCCAGCAGGGGAGATCTGTAGTTGTGCCAAGCAGCAGTCCAGCAGTTGGCCGGATAGCGTGCCAGGGTAGCTTGGTG